CTTCTGCCACTTCTGCAATACAAGCTAATGCTGCTAATAGATTGAAAATGTCTACAACACACACGATCGTCAGCATGTCAGACCAGTCCTACCGATTGATTGCATGAATCCAATCTTCTTGCATTATTCTAGAAATTTCAGGTATATTTCTATTAGCTGATCCTATTGCAGAAGGAATTCCGATGAGAAATCAGAGAAATAACCAAATTTCAAAAATGAAAACTATGTGAGTGACTATAGTAGGTACTTACTTTTGAATCATAATGTACCATCCGGATTTCTTCATCTTCCGCTGCAGTTTTTGTGCATTTTAAAACAGCACAATGTGATGGCATTAGCGAATTGATGAATAGCGGAAAAATACGATTCATATGCCAAAATAATTGTGGAAAACTATTTCGATCACTTGTAAACAAATATGTTTTGCCTCCAGGGTCAATCATCTGACAGTTCTTGCACGCGACCTATAATGGTTGTCATCAAATGTTGAAAATCTAGTTAGCAATGTTTGAATGACTCCATAGTTGTAGATAAAATTGTATTACAGCTGATATACAGAGCGCTCTCGGGGGTCGCTCTAACAGTGTTCTAATAGTGTTCAATTTGAAAAAAGTATCGTGGACCGCATAACTCAAACGTGGATTCTCATGAATGTGTCGAATTGAAAATAAAAATCGACTTGTCTCAGGATGGTATTTAGTACTCTCGTACGATTCGCGAAAATCACGAATCCGCTGAGTTGCTGAGAATTGGGAAACTCATATGGCAGTACCAACTACCAACATGTATGTTTGTTGATCATTTTATATGTTGGAAATGTTACAAATGAAAAGCAAATGTGAGTCAGGAACCTCTGCATGAATATATCGGGTAGTCACAAAAAAAAACGGAAGTTTTTATTTTCCTCGTGGTTTCATCATTTCTCAACCGAATTCGAATTTCTTGGCGTCGTTTTATAGCTGAAGGGCTATAGTATGCAATGAGATATTTGAAAATTTTATGATGAACGAAAACAAATTGGCGGATTCTACCAAAGTATTGTCATTTACAAAAACCGCTGGAGAAAAAAAAAATTAGATTTTTTTCAACCTGTACCAATGTCATCTTAGGCTATTCATTTTTGAAGAGAATGAGTACTTGAACATCGAAATCGAACAGATAGTCTAGTAGATACACTCATTTCTTTGCAATGTTGGAGTGAATGTGCTAATCTCGTATAAACGATTGTTATTATTCTGCTTCAGGCTTCATGAAAATTCAATCGAATTTGGATTTCTTAGAGTTATTTCAGAGATAAAGAGCTGTAGTACACAATGGAACATTTGAAAACCAAATAATTGAAAGAAACAAAATGGTGGAGAATCCAGATTTTTTGTAATTTTCAAAAATCTCTGGCGAAATAAAAAATGTTTATTCTTCCAATCGAGACCGATACAATTTTAGATCATTGATTTCTAATAGTCTGTCAAGTTCCATACCGAACAGGCATGAAAGGGAGGACAGTTAAGGATATTATTAGAAAACATTAGATTTTAGTCTTGAAACTTTGAAGAGATCGTACACTTTTTATGTTAGCGAACAAACCAAGAATCAAAGATACCAACGTTGCCGAAATTTATTGAATAGATTCCGGCTGTAAATCACGGAAGTTAGGATCACTCCACCATTTCGTTTTTTTTTTCAATTATGAAATTTCCAGATGTTCCACTATGTACTACAGCTAATCAGCATTGGATGGCATTGAGAAATCCAAATTCGATTGAATTCTGATGAAGCCAGAAGCAAACTGAAAGTAATTCTTATCACGGGATTGGCACATTCACACCATAACACTTTGCCAAAAAGAACGTGTTTCTCCTGGACTAATTGTTCGATTTAGATGTTCGAGTGCTCATTCTTTTTAGAAATCAATGATCTGAAATTGTATCGGTCCTGATTGGGAAAATGAATATTTCTTTATTCGCCAGAGATTTTTGAAAATCACAAAAATTCTGGATTCTCCACCATTTGGTTTCTTCCAATTATTAGATTTTCAAATGTTCCATTGTGTACTACAGTTCTTTATCTTTAGAATAACTCTAAGAAGTCCAAATTCGATTGAATTTTCATGTAGCCTGAAGCAAAATAATAACAATCGTTTATACGAGATTAGCATGCACATTCACTCCATAACAAATTGCAAGGAAATGAGTGTATCTACTGGACTATTTGTTCGATTTCGATGTTTGAGTACTCATTCTCTTCAGAAATCAATAGCCTAAAAGATGACATCGGTACAGGTTGAAAAAAATCTGATTTCATTTTTCTCCAGCGGTTTTTGTAAATGACAATACTTTGGTAGAATCCGCCATTTTGTTTTTGTTCAGCTATGAAACGACGCCAAGAAATTCGAATTCGGTTGAGAAATGATGAAACCACGAGGAAAATAAAAACTTCCGTTTTTTTTGTGACCACCCGATAGTTCAGGACCATCCATATGAAGGTCTCTGCACACAACTCAAGTATTATCGTGGGTAATATTCCGAGTCCATGACGAATAGCCGACCATTATTTTCTTTATAATTCTATCGAGAGTACCTTGTATTTTGATAATTTCATGAGACCATATGAACATCAATAATCTGAATCACTCCCGAGAGCTTCAGCTCGAGGGAGATATTCTATGATTATTTATGTTCATATGGTCGAATCGAATTGTCCCAAAATATAAGTTACTCGAGATGAATTGAAGAAAATAATAGTCCTCATTTGTCATGGCCGAGTGATATTCAGGAAGATTATTTCATAAACAGTGAAAAAATACTGGTTTATATGAGTTTCAACATTTTATTATTTATTATTAAATTTTACAATTTTGCAGACACTATTAGAATGAAAATTCTTCTGAAGTTCGTCTGGGGTATTCTCATCATATCTACGTACAATTGCAATCAATTCATCTAAAGTTAGAGCAAAGAAAAAACATTAACGCTATTGATAGCGTTAATATTCTTTGATTAGAGCTTCTGTACTTTCCTTTCTTGTTTGAGGAAAATATTTTAGGCTTCGCCTTTTTGCATTATGCGCAACCCTGGCACCTTTGAATTCAATATATTCAAATGGATCCGTCTTACGTTTCTGTTCATTGAAGTAACCTTCCTGTATATAGTTTTCCATATCAATTTGTACTGTGTATTCCTAATATTCCTCACCATTCTCTTCACCCAATCTTTCAGGATTTGGGCAATCATGAGAGGTGGGGTAGTCGCACAAAATTCATAGTTTTTCTACTGGCAAAAAAACATGAATTGTTCCAGACAGACTCTTTACACTCCTTGTTATTTTCTGATATCGATTCGCTTACATAATTATGGATTTCCGTAGTGGAAGAAAAACGAGACATTTCAAGTTTTCAGTGACTGATAGGTATGTCAAAGTTTGACAACCATAGCTCTCTCATGCTGGCAAACAGAATGGGTTGCGTGCAAGAACTGTCAGATGACCGACACTGGAGGCAAAACATTGAAACACAACGTCACTTTTCTCATTTGTTTACAACATATACGTATTAATAACATATACGTATTAATAATCAATACGGATAATCTCTATCTGTTTCCATAGCGAAACATGAAGCCGATTTTTGAAGACAAATGACTATCCATAAGGAAAAGTTTTGAAACGATCAGACACATACTGCTTTGATTGAAAGGCTAGTAAACGTCATTGTCCACCGAAACGCATGTCTTTGATGACTAGGTACTATAATAGCGCATGGCGCATGCGTATCATGCCACCAAATCCTTATGGATATTCATTTGTTTCATATTTTTGGCCTCATCCTGGCACCCGTTATGATCCGTATTGTTTATTAATACGTATATGATTAATAATCAATACGGATAATCTCTATCTGTTTCCATAGCGAAACATGAAGCCGATTTTTGAAGACAAATGACTATCCATAAGGAAAAGTTTTGAAACGATCAGACACATACTGCTTTGATTGAAAGGCTAGTAAACGTCATTGTCCACCGAAACGCATGTCTTTGATGACTACTATAATAGCGCATGGCGCATGCGTATCATGCCACCAAATCCTTATGGATATTCATTTGTTTCATATTTTTGGCTTCATCCTGGCACCCGTTATGATCCGTATTGTTTATTAATACGTATATGGCTTGCAAGTGATCGAAATAGTTTTCCACAATTATTTTGGCATATGAATCGTATTTTTCTGCTATTCATCAATTCGCTCTCATGCCATCACATTGTGCTGTTGTAAAATGCATAAAAACTGCAGCAGAAGATGAAGGAATCCGGATGGTACATTATGATTTAAAAGTAAGTACCTACTATATAGTCACTCACATATAGTTTTCATTTTTGAAATTTGGTTATTTCTCTGATTTCTCATCGGAATTCCTCCTGCAATAAGAGCTTATAGAAATATACCTGAAATTCCTAGAATAATGCGAGAAGATTGGATTCATACAATCAATCGGAAGGACTGGTCTGACATGATGACGATCGTGTGTGTTGTAGACATTCTCAATCTATTAGCAGTATTAGCTTGTATTGCAGAAGTGGCAGAAGGCAGAAGGAATTTTAATAAGGAACGACAACATTTCATAATGATAACTATGTGAGATAACTATTTACCTGAAAAATCATATTCCCTAGTCTCTTGCTGCATTTTTAGTGCATTGTACAACAGCACAATGCGAAGGCATGCTGGAATTAATGAATAACGCAAGAAACACGATTCGTATGCCAAAATATTGTGAAAAACTATTTCAATCCTTTGATTCCTCTGTAATCAAATAAAAAAGTGAGGTTGTGTTTCAATAATTCACAGAAGAATGAGGTTGTGTTTCAATATTTTGCCTCCAGGGTCGGTCATCGTGCACGCGACCTATAGCCGCTCATATTGTTTGTTTACCTAAATAGCCGCTGATATCGCGTATCATGTGACTTCAATCAGTGAATGAAATAATCATAAATACCAAGGCACGTACCTGACAAGTCCTCCTCAATTATTTTTGGGATTGAAAGTGGTGATTTGGCCAGGCATCTCCACTAGTGTTTCTCTGCAACAGAATCTAAGTGTCATCTACAGTTCCTATACGGGTAGATCATATCAGTAGGTGGCTCCATCATATCCATATTTCATTTGCACACCTACACACCTACCCTCAAGTTTTGTTGGGTTGCCACATGATGACTCTTATTCTTCACACTTGTGTTTCTTCAAACATCACTTCAGTATCCCGATAAATAAATTTATTTTGAATTGAAATTATTATTATTATTATTATTATTATGAGATTTGCACGAAATTCTCAATCACACGACATGTTGTGCTAACCCAATAGCTTCTTTAGGTGCATATTTTGAGTCATTACTTGAGAGATGAAATGAGGATAAAAAGTGTGTAGACATTCATGAAAGAACATCGAATTAGTCTAGATTAAGATCGATGAACCTACCAATTGTGAAGTTTCGTAAGTAAATGTAAATCATCAAATACCTCCAGCATTTTGACTACAACTCATCTTTTATGTAATCACCAACTCAGTAAATAGTATTTTGAATCATCATATCCTCTCTCTTTTTATGTTTCAAAATAGAAGCACAAAAGAGTAGGATGTGATATAATAAATGAAAAAATGACAATACTTGAATAACTCTAGTGATCTGGTATTAGGGGCGATAATAAAAAGTATGCTGGGAACAGTATGATTGATACGAAGGCGCTGAAGGGCCACCTATACTTTTTTTTTTAATCCCGACTTCAAAGTCGGCGGTCCGACTTCAAAGTCGGGTGTCCGAGATTAAAGTCGGGGGTCCGAGATTAAAGTCGGGGGTCCGAGATTAAAGTCGGGGGTCCGAGATAAAAGTCGGGGGTCCGACTTTAAAGTCGGGGGTCCGAGATTAAGGTCGGGGTCCGACTTTAAAGTCGGGGGTCCGAGATTAAAGTCGGGGGTCCGAGATTGAAGTCGGGAGTCCGGGATTAAAGTCGGGGGTCCGAGATTAAAGTCGGGGGTCCGAGATTAAAGTCGGGGGTCCGAGATTAAAGTCGGGGGTCCGAGATTAAAGTCGGGGGTCCGAGATTAAAGTCGGGGGTCCGACTTTAAAGTTGAGGGTCCGAGATTAAGGTCGGGGTCCGACTTTAAAGTCGGGGGTCCGAGATTAAAGTCGGGGGTCCGAGATTGAAGTCGGGGGTCCGAGATTAAAGTCGGGGGTCCGACTTTAATCTCGGATTTTAATCTGAATTTTATATAGACATCAGTATATATATATATATAGTGGTAAAAAATTGATACGAATTTATACCTGTTGAATATAGTGATAGGAACAGTAATGAACATGTACTTTTTTATAATAGACAAATAGTTCTAGCAGCCATCAATCAAATTGATGGGCCATATTAAATTAGGTTATTCCGCGTGTTGCTGGAAGATTTTTCTTGTTGTCGAACTTTATTATTAAACCATTGTTTATAAATTGTAGGTATCGTAGGTATCAATTTGAAAACTAAATAATCTCACCTTTTTGTGAAGAAACTCAGGCACAGTTATACCATTGATTGAGAATGGACCATCACCTTTACGGTCGATGTTTCCAGTCTTACATATCTCTTATCTTTCTACAGATAAGACACATCACCCTTCAATAAAAATTATCGATGATCGCCTCACCCAATTTAAGTGCAGGCAGGTTTAACAGCTATGATATGATTACGATAAGATTAACAGAGTGAGGCACAGAAAACGAAATAGATTTAATATCTTGGGGAGAAGATGTCTGTGGAAAAAAATCATAAACAGGTCGATATTTATTGTCTGTAGGTTCGTAGGTTGATGAAGGAGGTATATGATTTTATTGCTCTAGATTTTTCATGGTTTTCTCTCCTAGTTTCTACATTTGTTTCCATTCCTTGAACCTCACGGACTAAGACCTTATAATGTACGTAATAACAATAGTGCGTGCCTAGAAAGGATAAGGAAACAAGATGAGTATTGGATTTTTGGAAACTTCAAGTTTTTTTGTAATTTTTTTTTTATATTTCCAGAGCTTCATTGTTCTTCAGACAAACATGTTTTATAACATATATATATACATTTAGATTCAACAAACATATATACATATAGGAATGACAAACTAATTAATATACAGGGTGTTTCATGAGGAGACTCACATAGCCAAATGGTAAATAGGGGAAATCAAGAGTTGATGTATATATATGAAAACATTTTTTGACCCTCCATAACGAAGATACAGGGTATTATGTGGAATTGCTATATAACTTTGATCGTCGATAGTACAGAAATGATTCGTCCTAATCTACTGAAATTTGGCAGCGACGTATCACTACTGAAACTATTCAAGATGACATATTATGAAAAAAAATATCCAGGTCCGGACTTGGGAAAATTTTATGTTTTATTGTTATATCAAAAAAGTTCACTTTGTGGCCACTTTTCTCGACAAATTCCATCAGATTCAGAAAGATCAGACAAAATTCTATGTGAACTGATCTCCAATTTACACGGCACACTTTGACCGGTTCAACAAAAAAATATGGAACAAAAACGTTCGAATGAATTTTCAATTTCGACCTGGCTGATAACTCTCAACTTTTAACTGGATTCGTGTGAATTGATTTTCTGTACATTTTTATTGTATAAAAATTGACAAAAGAGATTAGTACTGATTCTTTAATGATTTGACATGTTAGTTTTTGACCGAACTTCTAGATAGATATGATTACTCGTGACTCTATTTTATAAATTTATCATAAAGTGGGCCCTGTTCTTATTTTATGTTACATGACGTTTGTTGATAGGTAAACACTGGTAATCTAAATATTCTTACACTCTAGGTGCCACTTATCATATTCCAAATGCTGAACAAGACGAAAATGTTTAATACCATAGAATGTTCCCAGACCCAAGAATACGTTGCAGTGAAACCTTCACGATGATGAACATTAGGAATTTTGAATGAATAGCACATGCATATCCTTATATCACTTGCAGAAGTGTATCAATAACAAAAAATGGAGCTAAGTTTATGCGTGATGGCATAACTAATTTGATGAATCATCATAATATGGGCACATGAATCCTCATGTTGTAATTTCATCAGTTGGTACCTACCTAGTACTAGCCTAGTACCTACCTATCAGGTCGGATTATCAACAAACGTCACGTCTCGTCACACAAATGAAAAACCGGGCCTACTCGATATCTCACTTCAAGCGACACCCATAAAACAAAGTCAGGAATAATAATATCTATCTGGAATTCCGATAAAAAAATATCGTGTTTTTCTTCTCGTCTATTCTTCTGTCAATCACTATTCAACAAAAATTCAGGAAAAATCAATTCACATGATACCAGTTGAAAGTTGACAGTTATGAGCCAGGTCGAAATTTAAAATTCATTCGAACGATTTTGTTCTATATTATTTTATTGAACCGGACAAAGTGTGCCGTGTGAATTGAAGAGCAGTTCTCATAGAATGTTGTCTGATCTTTCTGAATCTGATGGAATTTGTCGAGAAAAGTGGCCACAAAGTGAACTTTTTTGATATAACAATAAAACATAAAATTTTCCCAAGTCCGGACCTGGATATTTTTTTTCATAATATGTCATCTTGAGAAGTTTCAGTAGTGATACGTCGCTGCCAAATTTCAGTAGATTACGACGAATCATTTCTGTACTATCGACGATCAAAGTTATATAGCAATTTCACATAATACCCTGTATATTCGTTATGGAGGGTCGAAAAATGTTTTCATATATATACATCAACTCGTCTTGATTACCCCTATCAACCATTCGGCTATGTGAGTCTGCTCATGAAACACCCTGTATATTCATGACAATTCTCAGTTTGTGTGCCGCCCTCTGAGTTGTGGGATATTGAGTTATTAATCTGTTATTCTTCTGAAGAAGATAAATGGAATACATAAAACCCTCCTAAAACAGTATACATGATTGTTGACATCATATATAGGATTCTGTTTTCCACTTCCGATGATACTGGAAGTGGGAGAAAGTGATTTTCAATGAGTGTGAAAGTTCATTTCAATTCCACTTTTTACATCACTAAACAGAGGCGGACTGGGGGGGCCGGGCGGTCGTGCGATCGCCCGATGGGCCGGTGCCCTTTGGGGCCGGTAGAAATGTTGAATGAATAAAAAAATATAATCAATCAATCAATCAATCTGTGCTTTATTGTCCAAGAACATTTTTCTTATTGACAAAGCTTGAAAGATACATGTAGTGGAACGATCCATTTCGTCAAAAAAAAAAAAATAATAATACTTTTTATCACAGTACAGTACAAAATAAAATAGGTATAACTATACATAATGTATAGGAAGTTATCAATTAAAATTCGTATATGACACACAAAAACAATGCATAAACAAAAACAATTACAGATACATACATATATAATATAGCTAACAATAGATATAACTGAATGAATATATAAGTACTCTTAATATAATATCACATACGGTTATTCCTGATCTGAAGTTTGTCATCATAAAATTCCTGCAGGTTATAATATACATAGATACTGCAAAGAAAGCTACATCAAACGTTCTATACGATGCAAAGAGAAGCATTATTTCTGAATGTAAATTCTAGAAAATTACGATTCATTCGTCAGGATTTACTGATGATCAAATAATATTAACTGAAAACTAAATCAGGAAGGATTATGAAAAGGTCAAAAATTATTATTCTGCTGATGAAATAAGCCTTGACAGTTTGCAGATGAAACTGATAGATTTTGCCTCGAAGTGGGAAAGACCGTCGAGTACCTACTTTATCCGAGACTTTATCAGAAGATATAATGGATGGTGGAAGTTATGTCTTCGATGAAGAAGATGCCGTCGAGGCCTATCCAAATTCAAAGAAAATTCATAAATATATATTCTTACTCCTTCAGTGTCACAGGTATCGTGTGAAATAGCTTTCTCAAAATGAAAATTCATTTTGAATAGGCTATAATATAAACTCTCTATGCCAAGAGAATCTAGAGGCTTCCATGACCATGAAGTGTGAAAAAGACATTTTATATCAATAGGAAGCGACGATACAAATATTTTTACAGCTAGACAGAAAATAATTAATGTCTTCACTGACGTCCGTCACCCTTTTCTCGACTCACCGGTTACTACAGAAGAAATTTATTCTGTCCTCAGTAGATGCAAAAACAAAAAATCACCTGGCACTGACAATATACCTTGCGAATTTATCATCAATTTACCTAATAACTGGATAATCTACCTAACCTCACTTTATAATAAAATATTTGAATCGGCTGTAATACCCTCTGTTTGGTCCAACATTTTGGTATCTATGATACATAAGCGAGGTCCTGCAGAGGATCCCTCAAACTATCGTGGTATTGCTCTCGTAAACTGTTTGGTGAAAGTCTTCACGCATATTATTCTTGACCGATTGTATAGCTGGGCTGAAGAAAATAAAATTCTCCCAGAATGTCAATCGGCTTTTCGAGCAGGACGTGGATGTATCGATAATGTTTATACCCTTACCTCTGCCATACATTTTCATATCAGACACAGGAGGCGCAAGATATTCGCTATATTTGTTGATTTTAAACGAGCATTCGATTCAGTAAGGCATGCGTTACTATGGAAAAAATTGTTCGACCTGGGGGTTTCTTCGGGAATCATCCGCATAATAAGTAATTTGTATACTAACGCAACTATAAGAATAAAGGGTGAGAATGGCCTAACTAAAGCATTTGATGTTACGAGGGGTGTTTTACAGGGGGAATCACTGAGTCCACTATTATTTTCTTTATTTATAGCTGACATCGAAAAATTTTTTACTCTAACGGAGCTCAGGGAGTAAACATTGATAGTACAAATGATGTACTCACCTTACTTTATGCTGACGACATTGTTATTCTCGCCCACTCTGAGATAGACGTCGCAAAGAAACTCAGAATTTTGGAAATGTATACATCATTACTTGACCTCTCTGTCAACACTGCGAAAACTAAAATAATGTCCTTTTCAAGGGGAGGTTTCAAACCAAGCGCGTGTGGATTTTACTTCAACAATGAACCCGTTTCGGTAGTGAATAAATATGTTTATCTTGGGGTGACATTCACCTCTTCTTGCTTATTTCGCGAGATGGCCACAGTAGCTGCGGATAAAGCAAAACAAGCTGTAGGTGCAATCATCCCAATCATGTGTAAAGCCAAAATTGATACGTGGTTTCCCCGCGTAAAATTATTTGAATCTCTCGCACTGAGTACTTCGAACTGCTTGCCTGTTTGGGGATTGAGATACTTAGACATCTTAGAAAGGGTCCAAGTGATGTTTTTCAAAAAAATACTGCTTGTTCATACCAATTCTCCAGATTATGTGATCCGATTGGAAACTGGCAGAGTGAAATATGCCTATAATGTATTTAAAGTGTCATTGAACTGGTTACAAAAAGTCCTCAGTATGGATGATGACCGATTACCAAAAATTTCATTGAGACAGCAAATAAAGTCGCTGGCTACTATTGATGAAAAGTTCAACTGGGCCAGACAATTGAAGAATTG